GTATATATATATATATATATAGATAGATAGATAGATATAGAAAGAGAGAGAAAGAGAGAGAGAGTTAATTAGTATCATTTACTAACACTAATTTCATTTTTAAAAAAAAAAAATTCCAAAACTACCCTTCATTATAATTTGATAATTAAGAAGAAAAATGAGTCATTCAAAATATAACCTCAATCAAATAAAAAATATTATGGTGATGATAACATTTAATAAGATTAAATTAATTAAAATTTATTTATATGTAAGATAAATATTAGTTTTTTTAATTTTATTTAAGATTGGAGAAAGTAGCGTAAATAGTTGATGAGAAACTTACACTAAGTCTTATATGTGAATCTAGCCTACAAGCCAAAACTTATGGAACATGCATTTTTTTTGTTTCCCCAAATTTATCGAAACTCTCTTACACGCATATATAATAAATAAAATGAAATGATATGTGTAATATTTTTAATACATGAACAAAATAATATAATATTTATTTATTTTCACAAAATAAGTTATAATTATTTGTTATCTTAATTATGTTTTTAGTCTTCTAAATTTGGGATATAATTTTTGTTGTCTCAGATTTAAAACTTATATTTTTAGTTCTAAAATAAAAAAATTAAAATCCTAAACCCTCAAATTTAAAATACATATTTTTAGTCCTTAAAATTTCAAGAAAATATTTTTTTTTAATTACTAATATCATAATTTATAGTGACAAACTGATAAAGACTAAAATAATAATTTTATTATATATTTTGAAACATAAAGTTAATATACTTTTTTAAAAATTAAAAAAATTAAAAATATAAGTTTTAAATTTGAAGGAAAAAAATATATCCTAAATTTAAGAAACTAAAAACATATTTTTACAATGATTTACTATTGTTTATATACTTATAGTTATTATATATGTGAAAGGTAAATTTTTACGCTTATGTCATGATTTTATGATAAAAATAGGTTTTAATTATGATAAAAATAGGTATATATGATAAATTTTTTTGTTGAACTAATTTTACATTTTTTAAATTTATTACTGATAGGTGTGTGATGATTTTTTTTATGAAACTAATTTTTCAATTAATTAGAGTATATGTACATAAATTTTTTTAATTTTGTTAAAGCTACTGAAATTTTTTATTTTTCAACAATTAAAAATAAGTAAAAGGTGACTGTTGTTTTTTATTTTCAATATTTTGTGATATTTATAATTAATATTTTAGTGTTTGCAATTAATAAACATATTATTTATATAATACTAGTAGGATCGAAATATTTCGTACTTCTATTAAAAATAAAATTAAAATGAGATTAAATAATAAAAATATGTTGGTTTAACTAGTATTGTAGTTGTCCCAAAGTATTGAGTTCAAATCTTGGATTTGATAATAATATTATTTTTTTTAATAAAAAGGTATAATGGTCTATCAAATGTACAAATCAAATTGGTTACTAAAATGAGTATCCTCTTTATATATAGTATAAATAATTAAAATTTATAATAAATTATTTATATATATTATATTTAAAATTAGTATACATAAATATTTTTAAACATATAAATTACATTTTACATTTATGAAAAATAATTTGTATTGTAATAAAAGAATATTTTTAATTAGTTATTAATAATTTATTTTAATGTTTTAATATTTAGTTCATAAATAATTATGATAAATAAAAATCAAATTAGATAAGAAATTAGATAAATTCTTTTGTTGAAGAAAAATCTCTAAAAATACTCTCATGCAAGATAAATGTTCATGTATTTAATTTATAGGGATTGATTTTAGTATATTAATGACTTAGTTAATTTTAAATTATTGATTTTATTTTTAATAATGATTATTCTTATTTTTAACTTTTAAAAAATGAGATAATACTAACATAATTATTTATCCAAACACCTAATGATTAAAACATGCACTCACACACATATATCTAAACACTTTAAAATTATGTGAAGACTTTCAACAAATATATCCAAACAAAAATAACTTAGTAATACATATAACATAAACTCGTGTATAATGAGAATTTATTTAAAAAAGATCTCATTTTTCAAATATACAAATATCTTTTAGATAGATAAATTTCACCTTTTAATCCCTTAATATATATATATA